GAGAGGCGTCTACATATCAACAGACTGGAGTTGTGTGCAATATTCCTGGCATGCAAACACTTCTGTACTCACCTGAAGGGCAAGACAGTCAGAGTGTTTATGGACAACATGGCAGTGATGTACTACCTAAACAGACAAGGTGGAGCGAGGTCACATTCCCTATGCACAGAAGCGGTATGGTGCTGGAACTGGTGCATAAGGAACAATATCATCATAGCAGCATCCTACTTACCTGGCATAGCCAATGTCATTGCCGACTCCCTAAGCAGGCGCTTCCCCATCGACCACGAGTGGGAGATGAGGCAAGATGTGATTCAGGACGTCTTCAACAGATGGGGCACGCCCCGGTAGATCTGTTCGCGACGGCCTCCAACAAGAAGTGTCGCCTGTTCTGTTCCAGAGCAGGGATCGGCAAGGGATCGCTAGGCAATGCACTTCTAACCAGCTGGAAGAAATCACTACTGTACGCGTTCCCTCCAATAGTTCTCATTCCCAGAACACTGGAAAAGATCAGAACGGAGGCAGCAACGGTGATTTTGATAGCACCTGCCTGGCCCAGGCAAGCTTGGTATCCGTTCTTGCACAGGATGTCTCTGCGGCCTCCGTGGCCTCTGCCTTTACACCAGAACCTTCTCTCCCAAGAACGGGGTTCTCTGCTACATCCCAAGCTGGAGACGCAACACCTGACAGCGTGGCTCCTGACTGGCTCGACCAGGATGAGAACCTTTGCTCACAGCAGGTCAAGTCCATTCGAATTCATAGTAGAAAGAATTCAACAAGACGTATTTACCTTGCTAAATGGTGCAGATACTCGGCCTGTCCGCTCCATTACACCAGGTCCTCGATTACATGCTGCACTTGCGGGATTCAAAACTCTCGCTGGCATCCCTCCGTGTTCATCTATCGGCCATCAGTGCGTTCCATTCCCCAATACAAGGGTTCTCATTGTTTTCACATCCGACCACCAAGCGATTCCTCAAGGGTCTAAATAATTTAAGTCCACCTCGGAGACCTCGTCCACCGTCGTGGAATTTGGACTTAGTTCTTGAAACACTTATGTTTCCCTCATTTGAACCACTTGCATCCGTAGCATTACACATGCTGACTATGAAGACTGCTTTCCTGCTTGCAATTACATCAGCGCGCAGAGTTAGTGAGTTGGGAGCGATGATGTCGACCAAGCAAATGTAGTGCTCATCTTTGAAAAAGGGAAGAAGGAGAATCCAGGGAACTACAGACGAGTCAGCCTCACCTCAGTCCCTGGAAAAATCATGGAGGGGATCCTCAAGGAATCCATTTTGAAGCACTTGGAAGAGGAAAGTGATCAGGAACAGTCAGCATGGATTCACGAAGGGCAAGTCATGCCTGACCAACCTGATTGCCTTCTGTGAGGAGATAACTGGCTCTGAGGATATGGGGAAGGCAACGGACATGATAGACCTTGACTTTGGCAAAGCTTTTGATACCGTCTCTCACAATATTCTTGCCAGCAAGTTAAAGAAGCACGGATTAGATAAATGGACTGTAAGGTGGATAGAAAGCTGGCTAGATTGTTGGGTTCAATGTTTGGTTGGAAGTCGATAACAAGTGGAGTACCCCAAGGTTCTGTTCAGGGGCCAGTTTTGTTCAACATCTTTATTAATGATCTGGACGACAGGAGGGATTCCTCCCTCAGCAAGTTTTCCAATGACATGAAGCTAGAGGAAAAAGTAGATATGCTGGAGGATAGGGATAGAGTCCAGAATAAGAACAAGTTACTCACCCTATGTAGTAACGCTGGTTCTTCGAGATGTGCCCCGTGGGTGCTCCACGACCCGCCCCTGCTACCCGCTCCGGGTCTCTCCCATTGATTTATCTTTCAGGGACCATAAGAACAAGTTACTCACCCTATGTAGTAACGCTGGTTCTTCGAGATGTGCCCCGTGGGTGCTCCACGACCCGCCCTCCTGCCCGCTCCGGGTCTCTCCCTTTGATTTATCTTTCAGGGACCGAGCGGTGAGAGGAACTGGCGGGGGCGGGGGGGCCGATCTGCGCTTGTGATCAAAGGCGCGAAAGCCACGCGCTGCAGGGGGCATGCGCAGACCGGCCGAAGACGGCTCTGAAAGCTTCTGACCAGCGGTGCCGGGACGGACCCGACACCTAGAGTGGAGCACCCACGGGGCACATCTCGAAGAACCAGCGTTACTACATAGGGTGAGTAACTTGTTCTTATTCTGGACTCTATCCCTATCCTCCAGCATATCTACTTTTTCCTCTAGCTTCATGTCATTGGAAAACTTGCTGAGGGAGGAATCCCTCCTGTCGTCCAGATCATTAATAAAGATGTTGAACAAAACTGGCCCCTGAACAGAACCTTGGGGTACTCCACTTGTTATCGACTTCCAACCAAACATTGAACCCAACAATCTAGCCAGCTTTCTATCCACCTTACAGTCCATTTATCTAATCCGTGCTTCTTTAACTTGCTGGCAAGAATATTGTGAGAGACGGTATCAAAAGCTTTGCCAAAGTCAAGGTCTATCATGTCCGTTGCCTTCCCCATATCCTCAGAGCCAGTTATCTCCTCACAGAAGGCAATCAGGTTGGTCAGGCATGACTTGCCCTTCGTGAATCCATGCTGACTGTTCCTGATCACTTTCCTCTTCCAAGTGCTTCAAAATGGATTCCTTGAGGATCCCCTCCATGATTTTTCCAGGGACTGAGGTGAGGCTGACTCGTCTGTAGTTCCCTGGATTCTCCTTCTTCCCTTTTTCAAAGATGAGCACTACATTTGCTTTATTCTAGTCGCCCCTGACCACCTTCTTTTTAGACAAGATGGGAAACAAAGGGATTTCTGTAAATTGTTCCCTTAGGTACTGATGTGCAACACTGATACCAGCATATATGCGTGGGTCACTCCCACCAAGTTCATGATGCAACATGACAACAGGGTATTGAATAAACACACCGGGCTCGGGCAGCACATTACTGGCTCTGCTCATTATGTACCCACCCTTCCCCCAACCCAAACTTGTCCCCAGCTTCCCTATTCACTCCATAACTGCTAAACTTGTAATTCAAACTTGCTTTCAAACATTCGCTTAATAAAATGTGTCTGTTTTGTTAAAGAAAGTATTTTTGTTTATGCTAGGAGAATATTAATGCATTGATTGATTAATGAGCAAGATTAGGTGATAAATTATAATGGACTGTGTTTATATGGACATTGTAGTCTAATTAGAATCAAGTGCTTTGGAAAAAAATTCCTATACCCAAATGTGGCATCCTGGGTTTTAATATATGTGTGTATGCTTAAAAGACTCAGCTCACTGGGAAGTCATGTATTCTCTCAGACACAGAAAAACATCACATTATTGGGGAAAATTAACTTTAAGGGAACAACATATACTCTCTTAAACATACATTGCCCTTCCCTAAATTCCTCTCCTGCTACTGTTACAATTAATTAGGTGATTATAAGTGAAAGAGATTTTAAAAGGAAAATTGGCCAGTGAACTGAGGAACAGATGGCGCAGCTTAATCTTATTCAACATTTTTTTTAATTGTCTAGCATTGAGACTGATGATCCCCCTTTAAAATAATGTAGATACTTAGCCATTTAGAAGTGGTAACAGATGACAACAGGAAAATTAAATTCAATGAATTGAGACACACATTTTGTGATCTTAAAAAAGACTTTAAATGCTAACTCATCAACAAACCATTGCAGAAGTCAGTAGACTTGGCCATCTGTATTCAAGAATGGTCCAAGACTGGAACAGTAGGAATACTTGCGCTGGAGAGTGAGAGATGCTGGCAGTATTATGTATAGAAGCCTCCACATTGCACACAACTGTCTGTCTACTTGTAGTGGCAGCTGTGAATTAAGCATGTATAAGCATGATATGGCCCTTATTTTCACAAGAAATACATTTGTTTCAAAAATTTTTCTGAAACAGCATGTTCTGGTATAATATGAAAGTTGACTATCTCAAAATTACTTCAGGCCTTTCGTTCTAGTCAAGTTAGGCTCATCCATGTCAACGGTAATATGCTTTACTTTTAATGTATTGTACTAGCAGCGCTTCTGTCATTGAAGAGCTAGTGGAAAGTTCTAAGATTAAGCATTTCCTGTGTTTGTTTTTGTTATATCTGATCTAACTGTTTCAGGGCTCCCCTCATGCCCCTCAGCTGTTTCCTTGGTAATGTGTATGCAGAGAACATTGATGTTCTGAGAGATGGAACTGGACCCTCAGGTTTACGGCTCCGCTTACTCACTGCAGGTATTAATGAGAATGGATGACGTGTTGTCCTCACTTTTAGTCAAGAAAGGAAGGACAAATTTGAATGAAATATGTGTTAGCTAACCTATTGTATTTTCATTGGTGGGTTTCAAAATGTTGTGCACATCTTAAACTCTGCAAACTCTCTGAAATAATATCCTGCTATTGCTGCATATCCACATTCCTGGAGAAATCACAGGTGGCTGTGGAAACATCTTTCAATCCAAATTCATGGAGTTTCTTGTGGCAGTGAAATTTGGGTTTTTTCTGTGTATATGCCCAGAAAAATGAACAGTTGCTGTCTGTTATAAGAAAACCCTTTCAGAAACAAGGAAATGTCAGGTAGGTGTGTGACCTGTACCTTGTAATGCCAAGCAACGTATTATGCCACTTCACTCTACATTCAAATAATTCTAAACTTACTCTTTCTTTGGAGGCAGCATTCCAAGTGGCGTGAGTTGATTAGGTATTTATCCTGTGTTCTTTTGATGGCTGGACTTACAGAACAAGAGGAAAGGTTTATTGCCAGTTAAGAAATGCCCTATATAGGACTTTAAAATATTGTCAAAAATCTTTTGAGTGTTTTTCACATTTTTCTTTTGAGTGGCAAATATTTTTTTCACAGGGTTATTTTTTCAGATGTGATCATGTTGAGAAGATTCTCATATATTACTAGGACACACAAGATAAAAAATGGAGAGGGGAGGGAAAACTTTACAAATGAGGAGTAAGAAACAATGAATTAAAAATGTAGCTAATTTGTTAAAGTTACTTTGCTTCTGTCTTTACAGAGGAAGATAATGGAGAGCTGCCTAGGACAGGGATCATATATCCTGGTGTAGTAGGGAAGGAGTTAGCTATATTATCCAGATAATATAAATGGTTTTGAAAAATTGGATACTTTTTAAGGTAGAGTGTTGTGTCTAGATAACATACATACCTGAAATTTAAAGGAAATATGTTAGCAACAAATACATTCTTTATGAAAATGTTATATTAGCTGTCAGATTTCTAGAACTTGCTAAAAGAAAAACTTGCCATGTATCATCCTTTCCTAGCTGAACTCAGTTCCTTCAGTTAATTCATTCCCCATCCTTCTAGAATTAGAGTTTCTCTGTGATTGAGTTAATGTATAGTAACTCTTCCTGAAGAAATCAGGCTTGGCTTGATTGCATGTCCATCACTTTGTAATACTTATGAGATATCATAGACCAGGAAGAAACATCAGCTGACCTGTTGTTTCTCAGAAAAAATTTCTCAATTATGGTAAGAGAAATAGAATTCTCCATCAATTGAAAACCCCTTCTGAAAATTATAAATACAAATATTAATTACCCTCTCAGCATTACATTTAAGATTTTTCTCTGAGACGAGGCATGTGTATCCTTGACTTATATCCAGGGATTCTCATACTGGTGGTTGAGATCCCTCAGAGGATCACAAACTTATTACATGAGGAGTTATGAGTTGTCAGTCTCCTTACCAAACCCTGTTTTGCCTTTAGCATTTAGAATGGTGTTAAATGTATAAAAAAGTGTATATAAATTAGAGGAGAGTTGCACTCAGAGGCTTGCTATGTGAAAGGAGTCACCATTACAAACGTTTGAGAACCACTGCTTATATCACTGCCCAAACACTAACTAGACATAGAGGGCATGTCAAAATTGGCAAAAAGTGTGTGTGTGTGTGTGTGTGTGTGTGTGTGTGTGTGTGTGTGGTATTAACACAATTGAAAAACTGGTTGCATCCTCACACTTCTGAAGCCATATTAGCTGACCACGCTGTAGTTTTAGTTCCCCATGAGACCTGTGAAGACCTAGTCAGATATAGACATAATATTTGCCTGGTTTTGTGTTGGTTCTGCTCCCTTTCACACAATGATTGTCTTAGTTAAGCAACCTTTGGCAGTGAAAGACTAGAACTGGGATTCAGGCTGGAGATACTGGCAGTGTGGTACAATTAACCTTATCTTGTGAATTAGCCATACTTTTCCAGCAACCATTTGAGTTAAAACTAATTCTGATATATTGCACTTCAGTGTAATCTAATATATAAAGAAATGTTCATTTCCTGATTTGTTAATCTGATTTTTGTTTGCGGGAGGTTGTTTAGGGTTAAAGCTACTGAGTTTGCAAAATATACCCTGAATTGTAATACCTATGCAGCGAAGTAGAGCTGTGGGACAGTATGTATACAGTGACTTGTTCATACATTTCAACTAGGGATGTCAACAGGTTGTCAAGTACATGATTGATAAGCCTGGGTTTATCAGTTAATCTGATCAACTACACGCATTCCCCTCCCACCGTTGCTGTCTCTGCAGCAAGTGGGGAGCACAAACTGATGCCGTGGAAAGCCAGCTTTTAAGCACCGGATCCATGGAGCCGCTTGTCTCCCTCCTTCTCCGACCCCTGCAAGAGACAGCAGCAGCTTGGAGAGGAGCAGGCAGGAGCTGATGCATGAATCTAGCTTTCAAGCCAGCTTCTCACGCGTACTGGCTCATATGAACTGCTTTCCCCTCCTCCTTGTGCTGACAAGTGGGAGCTGATACACATGGGGAGCCGGCTGTTAAGTAAGCTATCCTCTCATGCTGGTTCCACAGAGCTGCTTGCTTCCTCCCCCTCCACAGTGCTGCTGCCTCTCTGACAGGCAGCAACAGGCAGGGGATGCTGCCACGGAGCAGCCTCTGTCCCTGACTTGCACAGCCTCTGTCTACGGGGGACTAGGACCCTCCACGGAAAGAGGCTGCTACCGCTCCAAGCTGCCTCTTATGGACATAACTACCGTAATTTAGCGAATATAAACCACGGGTCATACTCGTTTTTACAAACCCCGCACCACCACCCCCATGGGGTATATTTGGGTGCAGAGTATATAGGGGTTTTTTTACTCACCAGCAGTTTTTTTTAACTTACCAGAGGCTGGTGGTTCCTGCGGCTGCACAGGAACGGGGTGGGTGGATGTGTGTGAGCGCTCCCTCGCCCGGAGGCTGGTGGTTCCTGCTCCCCCACCCCTTCCTGTGGCTGCAGAGAAACCAGGGGGATAAGCACTCCCCCGCCCAGAGGCTGGTGGCTGCGCAGGAACCGGGATGGTGAGTGGCTGGCTAATTCCACCCCCACTACCGCACCGTAAATTAGCAAATATACCCCCGGCACAGAAAAGTCTTGTATACCCTGCGGGTTATATTCATGCGCGGGGTATACAAGATTTTTTTCTGCTGAAATAGAAAAAAACGCGGGGTATATTCGCTTAATTACAGTAACTGCCGGCATTTGTACTTGATGCCAGTTCATTAAATTTGAGATTGGCAGTGCAAATAAGTAAACTGCATTTTGTAAAATGAAGCAATAGGGGAAGAGATCATGTTAATCTGCTTCCCCAGGAATAGCACTGCTGAATTAAGCCATTGAGATATGGGTCTATGACAGTTAACAATCACATTACCCAGATGTGATCTTTTTGTGTGTAAACTGCCATCCAAACTAAGAGCTGAATTCAGTACAACAGCATTGTCTTACAGGCATTTCTTTACATTCTGTCTCTTCAGTAGCTAAGTGCTGGAATTTGTGATTATTCATTCATTGTGTAGTACTGGGATCTAGAAGTTATGAACATTAGGCTGTTGTTCCCCATTCTTTAGGCTGTGGCCCAGGTGTATTAGCTGATGCCAAGATGCGGGTATTTGAGCGCTATGTGTACTTTGGTGATTCGTGCCAAGATGTTCTGAGCACTTTGGGGTCTCCACACAAAGTCTTCTACAAGTCAGAAGACAAGGTAGGAAAAGGCTTTCCTAATTTTAGGGCCATATCAATATTCAGAGCTCCTACAGTTTAAATGTTCCATGGGTATTTTGAACTGATTTTAAACAAGTGATAAACACAATGTGGACCCTCGTTTACTCAGATTTAATCAGTTTACATGGGTTTAGTTCAATTTGGTAAAGAGTCAATTTAAATTGATATATAAACCTGAACTACAGGTGTCTACATTGTCTTGCCCTACATTAACTTTTAAATTAAAACCAATTTAAATTGATGCAATTTTTAATATGGACAAGTCCTACCAACTATATGGGCATCTAGTTTATTTTTTCTTTTTATATTCATATAAGATAATTTGTGGGCATGTTTTTTACATATTTCAACATGAAAACATATGCGCACTATGTATATGCAGATCCGCAGCTGGAAGTCCTGCAGTAATCATGAGACTTTACATTTTTAAAACTGGTTATAATTTATATTTATTTAACACATTAATTTTCACTGTTAAACTCTGAATTACTCCTGCCTCGTTCTTTATTTCACTAAATGTGTAGGTGGAGGCATATATACCTATATTAGGCAATAAAGTGAGTTTTCCACAAATACCTGGAGGACTTTGATATCTACTCTTGTCATTTTACTGCTAAAAGGAGGCAATTTTTTTTTTATTTTTGTCCATGTCTGACTTCTGGGTGCAGGGATATATGGTGTGTTAACATTATGAGAACAGAGTTTTTAAAAGTGGATTCCTTCAGTTTTGAGTAATCTTTTTTATTTGCTAGCTGTATAATGCCACTAGTTAGTAGAGTCTCTAGTATAATCTTATTTCAGTGCTAGAAAATTCCAGCTCCTCCTGTTGAAGATGTGGGGAGCTGACTACTACATAAATATTCTCATAAAATTCCCGTATCTCCTAATTGAAATGAAATCCCTCAGTAGTTTGGTTAGTACCTAGTTCAGATTGTATAGCTCTCTCACAGTATTAAAACATACAATAATTTGTACAAAGATAATTTAGAATTTGAATCATAAGGAAAATGTATGGACACTAGTGTGAAACCTGTTTTTACAGAAAATTAAAGTATTGATAATAATTTAGTTATGGTAAGCACTGATAAATCTATATGTGAATTTCTTTGCAGATGAAAATTCATTCACCCTCCCCACATAAGCAGGTTCCATCAAAGTGCAATGACTACTTTTTTAATTATTTCACGCTTGGAGTGGTAAGTTGGAGACTTCCATAAATAATCTATTTTCAATTTGAATTGGCCATCCAGTGTATCCTTCAGAATGACTAAGTATCTCAAACTGGCATTTGATACGAGTACTAACACTGTGCAGAACTCTCAGTAGCTTCCTCAAGAATCTTTGAATATGAAAATGGGATTGCAAATGCTCGAGTTAAGTCAGATTTGAACAACAATATTTTACCATTTTCCCATAATCCATGGAGCGGTTTTTGAATGTTTTGCTTTGGCATCCCTCCCAACACTCTGATCAGGTGCTACCCCTAATGTGTAGGACAGGCCTGGGCAAAATATGGCCTGCAGTCCGGATCCAGCCCGCCAAACTGCCGGATCTGGCCCGCGGACACTGCAGAGAGCTCCCCACTTGCTTCGCCCCTCCCGCACACCGCTCAGAAACATGGCTGAGGAGCAATTTCACTTTAAAAAATTAACCCAGAGGGGAGGGAGAAAGCTTTAAGAGCTGCTCCTGCCCCCAGCACAATCCCATTGGCTGGATTCTGGCCAGAACCCAGCCAATGGGAGCTTCCTGTTTCAATACCAGGTAGCCACGAACCACAAAGGGCTCGTAGTTATTCACAGAGCACATGGCTGCAGCCTGTGCAGGGGCAGGGCAGGCAGGGAGGCTGATTCAGAAATGGGCTTGCTGGGTGGTAAGTCTCCTGGCCAGAGCCTGCATCTGGCATCCCAGGACCACCCCCCCCCAAACCTCTGCTCCCCACTCCTGCCCACATACTTCCTCCCAGATCCTGCACCACAATCCCTTGCCCCAAATCATAGTACCCTCCTGCCCTAGCTCACAACCCAACTCCCTGCACTCCCTCCTGCACCCCAATTCCCTGTCCTAGATCACAATTCAACCCCCTGCACCTCAATCCAGTGCCCCAGGTCACAACTGCCTCCTTCACCCAAACTCCGTGTATTACCCTAAGCTCCCTTCTGCACCCAACTTCCATCCTATACCCTGTACCTTCTGTTGGAAACGAAAAATGTAGACACCGTATAGATTCAAGCAGGAGGGTTTATTACACACAGTGCTGGCTGAGTGTCACCTTGCCACTTGGGCTCAGCGAACACTGCTAAGCACTTTATTACAGTAGATTATATAGGGAGCCAGCGGGCGGAGAGAAGCGACGGGGTGGGAGTTCCTGAGCCCCTGGATAGGTTCTGGCAGCAGGACATATGAACACGGTAAGTCAATAGTCTAAGGGTATGTCTACACTACAGCACTAATTCGAACTAACTTAATTCGAATTAGTTAATTCGAACTAAGCTAATTCGAACTAGTGCATCTAGACCTAAAAACTAATTTGAATTAGCGTTTTGCTAATTCGAACTAGCATGTCCACATTGAGTGGACCCTGAACCGAGGTTAAGGATGGCTGGAAGCAGTGCCGGCAGGGCATCAGATTAGGACTTAGAGCGTGGAGCTGCTGTCTCAGGCTAGCTGAGGGCTGTGCTTAAAGGGTCCCGACCTCCACCCCAGACAGACTGTTCTCAGGGGTTCCCCACTTGCTCGTCTAACTCGATGAGGGACAGCAAAGCAGTCCTGCTTGGAGTGCCCTGAATGCCCACACTTGGCACATCATAGCACTTGGCCATCAGCCCGGCTGCACTTGCCACAGGCTGTCATCCGGTGTGGGGGGAGGTCAATCGGGGGTCTGCAGGAGAGCTTCCACTCCGAGGAGCCCGCAGAACCACCCCAGTCCTCCCCATCGGGCCTCGTACCCAATTCCTCCCTTACTTTCTTCCACTTACCCTTCCGTAGCCCCCCTTCCTGATGTACAAAATAAAGGACACGTGTTCAAAAATAGAAACTTTCTTTATTTAACAAAACTGGT